CTGATAAATCTTGTGTTTAAAATTATCCGTTTCTAATTTATTCTGGTATTATTCAAACCAAACTGTAAATTATTACAAACTCTAAATAATCGATATCGATTTTTTTAAGAATCGAATATTGTACGTTCCAGTTTTTTTTATTACTTAGATTTGGTTGACTATAGTTTATTAATGATACAATAGTGACATTTATTTAATAAATTAAACACCTTTAGACATGGAAACAGGGATTGAAAGCGGTAAAGGTATAAGGGTATGGTACCGGTATAGAATTACGATACAACTTCGATTTAAAGGTAGAACCAAAACGTTTGAGAATTACGGTTGTGGTACCGTTAAAAAAAGAATTATACCTATATTTTTTTTTACGGTATCGTTATACCTTTATTTTACTAATACCTTTACCGAAATAATTTCGGTACCGAAAAAAAAAGAGTATTTTAGGCTTATTTATATGTATTGTGTCTCGGACCTTGCTTAACGTTATGAGACTTTCATTCGGTTTGGATTTCCTATGTTACTATATTTCATGTTCGGAAAAATTAAACATCTTTATCATATTTGTATTGTTATTTATTATTAGTCAAGTATTTAATTAAAAACGTAATATTATGTTTAACGTGTGGGTACCAATTCTTACTTAACCTAGCTCTTCAGAATCAGTTAAAGGAACATCTTTAAAGTGCTTCCCTTCCAAGGGATGTAGGAATACTAATATTTTTGAGTACACACGGGCTCGCATACAAGTTTTTATACTTTGCATCCCTTTTTTATAAGTAAGCTAAAAATTACTGCCGTGTAGTGGCGGTTAAGAATCCCCGTGGGTGTCGTAAAAGGCGACAGAGGGAAAGCGGCAGGAGATGGGCAGCAGCATCTTCCTGATAACATCAATTGTACAACAAAAAAAAACTGCAGTTGCCAACCCACTCGTAAAGCGTAGCAACTATGGAAATACCCCCCATGAGCAATGACACAAGTAAACGGCCCCCAGTCCTACGGCGGCCGCGCTATTCCTGGCTAGGTGGCGACTATGGTAAAGGCGGGATAGGGGATGCTAAGAATCTCCGCTGGATGGTTGGTTGCCACCTAAGACGATTCAACTTAGCAACAACCAACGGACGCACCCTGGGGACTACCAAGAAGATCCTGAAGCTGGAAGAAGAGATAAACAAGTTGCGCTTGAATATTATAGGATCATCCGAGGTCTAAAGAGAGGGGGAGGACACGGTGATTCTCGAATCCGGCAACTTGTTATATCACCGGAAGGGCGACCATCTGTCCCAAGGAGGTGTTGGATTTATCGTCCACAAGTCTCTCGTTAACAGCGTTGTAAAGATTGGTAGTGTGTAGACGACGGTTGCGTACCTACCTCATATTCAGAATCAGCAAACGGTATCCAAGGTCATACAGGTCTACGCACCAACATCTAATACATTTCTAGATATTCTCTATGATATTTCTAGAGCCATGCATTATTATAAAACCCACTATACGGTGTTAATGGGAGACTTCAACGCAAAACTAGGCAAAAGGAAGAAAGGTGATCTGACGGTAGGTAAATTTGGGATAGGGCAACGGAACACAAGGGGCCAGCAGCTGGCTGACTTCATGGAGAAAGAGGGACTGTTTATGATGAAATCTTTTTTCCAGAAGCGGCTCCACAGAAAGTGGACCTGGTCGAGCCCCGACGGTACGATAAAAAATGAGTTGACTTCATTATGGCGACGAGACGGCAACTGTTCAGTGATGTCTCAGTGATCGCAAGGGTGAAAACTGGCAGCGATCACCTAATGTTAAAGGCACACTGAACCTAAACGTTATGTTGGAGAGGTCTCGTCTAAAGAAGACAACGATCCGTCCCCCTCGTGCTATAATCCAAAGTCCGGAAACCTTTCAGCTCGAGTCACAAAACCGTTTTCAGTGCCTAAAAGACTGCAATGTAGTGGACGATATGAATGATAAGCTAGTGAAAACTGTCCGCGCGGTCGGAGCTAAATTTTCATTCAATTCAACAATTCAAGACTCGCCGCAGAAGAACACAAAAACTCTCCGATCACAATTTTTTTAATCTCATGGCTGTTAGACGGAAAATTAAGCTGCAGTCTTCAACAGATTTGACAGCATACAGGCAACTGAACAGACAGATCTCCAAATGCATGCGCTAGGACTTACGCAAATTTAATACTGCTCGTATTGAAGAAGCGATCGAACGGAACCAGGGCTCCAAAGTCTTTGCCAGAGATCTGTCTGCCAGAGAGAGACAATTGTCAAAGCTGAAGAATGAGTGTGGCAGCATCGTTTCTGGGATTTTGAGTGAGATTGAGAGGTTCTATGAGCAGCTAAACACATTATCGTTCGAGCCACACGCAAGTGTGAGTAATGATCCAAGAGCAAGTCTATTCCGACACTATGATATCCCGGAAGTCAGTCTGAGCAAGAAAAGAAGGCTCTCTATCTTGTTAAAAACGGCAAGGCCCCAGGTGAAGATGGAATTACAGCGGAGTTTTTGAAAGCGGGCGGAAAACCGGTACTTAAAGTCCTTCATAATCTCTTCAATTTCGTCCTTTAGGGTGGCACTACTCCGGAGGCTTGGTGCAGAAGTGCAGTGGTCTTATTTTTCAAGAAAAGCGATTACGCTCTCTTGAAGAACTACAGATATATTTCCCTTATGAGCCGCGTCTAAGTGCTGTTTTCGAGTCATTACGAATCATATTCAACTGCAGAGAGGTGTAAGACAGGTTGACGTTATATCACCCATACTCTTCACCGCTGCATTGGAAGATGTTTTCAAGCTACTGAATTGGAAAGGTATTATCATCAATGGCGAGTACATTACTCACCTTCGATATAGTCTTTATGGTGAAATCGATGGAGGATCTAGGCAATATGCTAATAGTGTATCCCAACGTATAGGTTTTAAGATGAACATGGACAAAACAAAGATCATGTGTAATGTCCATGTCACGCCTATACTGGTAGTTGTTGGGAGCACTAAGCTCAAAGTTGTTGACAAGTACGTTTGCCTGGGACAAATAGTCCGACTAGGTAAGTCTAACTTCGATCGAGAGGTCATTCGACGGATTCAACTCGACTGGGCAGCGTTCGGGATATTTCGACACATTTTCTCGTGAGGTATACCTCAAAACCTAAAACCTAGATTGTACAACCAGTGCGTGTTGCCAGTGATGACTTACGGATCTGAGACATGGTCCTATAACTGCTGGCCGTATGAGGACGATCATGGTCGCTCAGCGAGCTATGGAGTGGGCTTTGCTCGGGGTTTCTCTGCGTGATAAACTTAGAAATGAGAATATCCGCAGTAGAACTAGGTTAATCGACATAGCCCAACGTATTAGTAAGCTGAAGTGGTATGGGCCGGCCATATGGCCCGAAGAACCGATAACTGATGGGGAAAAAAGGTTCTCGAGTGGCAGTCTCGTACCGGTAGGCGTAGTGTAGGCCCACTAGACGGAATGATGACCTCGTAAAACATGCAGGAAGTCGATGGATGCAGGTGGCTCAGGACCGTGCTTTGTGGCAAACCTTGGGGGAGGCCTATGCAGCAGCAGTGGACTTACGAAGGGATGTAAATGATGATAATGATGAAGCTAAAAATGTCATTCCTTTGATCCTTTTCTTCTCGTTGGATAGCCATGCAGGGGAAACATTCAGGGCGATGTTTTTCTTTCTCCGGGTGTTTTTCTATTTTAGGTCGTGGAGCAGAAGGAGACCTTCGTCGTTCCAAATCCACAAAAATATCTGGGGAATGATGGTGCTTATTCTAACACATGATGACTATAATATACTCAAAAATTACGTTCGTTCGGCCTCACTCTAAAAAAGTATAAAGAAATGCAAATTTGTATAATATCGTTATGACATGCTTAATTAGTTTGTACTTACTTTTATCTATCTTTACGACAATCTAATTGTAAAGTTTTAACAAAGCACACTTGTGATTTAGTTGACAATAAAAATATGAATGGCGGCAAAATGGCAAAACAATCCACCTACTTTGTTTAGCTGCCGAGGGGCCGAGGCATGAATATCCCTAAATTTTCGATCAAGTACCTACTCTCTTACCAATGCGGCCGACACATTGCGCGACGCCTCGGCGCGAGCGGCGGCGTACAATTTATTTGTTTATACCTTTATTTTATAATTTAGATACTTGAAAAAGTAATGGTACAGTTACTTTAAGGTATAGTAATTTAAAGGTACCTTTATTTTAAGGTATCGAAATTTAAAGGTATGACGTCATACCGCTTACCGTTTGTACCATAATTTTTTCGGTTATTCAATCCCTGCATGGAAAATCGATTACAGTAGCAGTAATAAAGACTTATCGATTATTTTGAAATTCCCCATCACTAGCATTTTGTAGGTATTTAATATTAAATAAATGGCTTGCCTTAGAGAGCATACTTCCGATGCACTGTGCTTAGCGTTCAAAGGGTTATAATAGTTAGCAAATAATTGTCAAATCAAAATCTTTAGATTTGCTTTATCACATCTTTATAATGAAGTAATAAAGAGGAGGGAAGTATTATATAGAGGTAGCATTATCTCTTTTCATATCTGAACTACAAAGGAATTTATTTACTGTATAAAAACAGTCTTGGATAATGCAAATTTTTTGTCACTTTGCCAAAATTAAAATCTAGGAGTTGACAAGGAGCTCTTACTAGTCTGGGAGATAACAAGCAAAACTCAATTAAGTGTATGAAAATAAAATTTCACAAATTTCTCAAACTCCTACTAGTTTAGAACAAAAGTAAGGAACATAGAAGTCATACATTTGAATCGAAATGTTTCATTGATTTATAATTATAACCTTAGTAAGTAGAAAGTATAACCTTAGTAAGTAGAAAGGTAATGCTACAATAAAATAGTATTTAGTATATAAATTATTTATAAGCACTATTTCTCTTTGGCTTTTATGTCACTATTTCTGTGTCAATTGTATTATTTTACTAATAAATATTGTTTTATCGTTACAGGAAGCTATTAACTCCGACAATGCCATGGTTTCTTATCATGCATTAGGAATCGCCGCAAGTTCAAAAAAGAATGATAAATTATCTACCGTAAAGTTAGTTTCACGTCTCTGTCGATCGCCCATGAAATCACCTTATGCCTTATGTCTTCTCATCCGCTTAGCTGCACAAATAATTGAAATGGATGATTCGGAGGCCTCTCAACCATACATTGAATTTATTGAATACTGTCTTCGTCATAAATCTGAAATGGTTATATATGAAGCAGCTCATGCAATTGTTAACTTAAAAACGACTACTCGAGACCTAGCCCCAGCTGTGTCAGTCTTACAATTGTTTTGTGGTTCTTCCAAGGCGTGTTTGCGTTTGGCTGGCGCCCGAACGCTTGCTTGTTTGACAGCAAACCGCCCAGCAGCAGTTGCAGCTTGTACGGTTGATTTAGAGAACCTTATATCAGATCCAAATCGTTCAGTTGCTACTTTAGCTGTTACAACTTTACTTGCGACTGGAGCAGAGAGTTCGGTTGATAGATTAATGAAGCAAATATCAAGTTTTGTATCGGAAATATCAGATGAGTTCAAAATTATCGTTGTCAAAGCCATTCGCCGCCTGTGTACCAAGTTTCCACGGAAACATCAATCTATCGTAGCATTCTTGGCTGGAATGTTGAGAGATGAAGGTGGTTTTGAATATAAAACTGCAATCGCAGAAGCCATAATATCTTTAGTTGAGGAGAATCCAGATGCAAAAGAAACAGGATTGGCACATTTGTGCGAGTTTATTGAAGATTGTGAGCATGCTACGTTAGCTATTCGCATATTGCATTTGCTCGGACGTGAAGGCCCAAAATCACGGCAACCTTCCCGGTATATTAGATTTGTATACAATAGAGTAATTTTAGAGTCTGGTCCTGTAAGAGCCGCAGCAGTATCAGCAGTCGCGCAGTTCGGTGCACAAATACCAGAATTACTACCAAATATTAAAGTTCTTCTGTCGCGCTGTGAATTGGATGACGAAGATGAAGTAAGGGATAGAGCAATTTATTATAATGCAATTCTCGACTCAGGAGATCAACAATTGATCAACGATTATATTATAAATGTAGTGAAACCAAACCTCGTAGCACTTGAAAGAGCCTTGAGGGATCATATTGCTGCAAAACCAGACCAGCTATTTGATATAATGACAATACCTATTGAAGAATCAAAAGATGTTAAAAAAGACGTTGTGGAGGTGGAAGCGAAGAAACCTATGCAAAAAACTGTGGATGAGATATATAATGAAACATTGTCACATATTCCTGGTATAGAGCGTTTAGGAAAAATATTTAAAAGATCAAGACCTGTAGATTTGACAGAAGCTGAGACAGAATACAGGGTACGATTATATAAACACATCTTTGATTGCCATATTGTATTACAGTTCGAATGTATTAACACACTGAATGATCAAGTCCTTGAGCAAGTTCATGTACGATTAGAGACACCGCCTGAGTTTAATATATTGTCTATTATTCCTTGTCAGAAACTGTTATATGATAAACCAGGTAGTGTTTTTGTCATTGTGGAATTTCCTTGTGCATTTTTAGACAGCTTGGGAACTTTTGGCACAACATTGGAATTTACTGTTAGAGATTGTGATCCCAATACTGGGAATCCTGACCCTGGTGAGGGATATGCAGACACATATGCTTTAGAAGAGTTTGAAATTAATTGTTCTGATCAAATAAAAACACGAACTGCCACTGACGATTGGGAAGATACTTGGGAGTATGCATCAAATTCTCCAGAAGCTTCAGAAACATTCTCACTTCCTCACAGAAATGTCAATGAGGCAGCTAAAGCGGTTTGCAGTCATTTGGGACTACCTAAGGCGGCAATAAGTGGGGACTCCTTAGTAGAAATTAAAGGATGTGGCATATTCAGAGGCGGTGCTCCTGTCTTAATAAAAGCAAAATTGGTCACTATTAGTGATGGCATCACAATGAAACTTGCTATAAGATCACCTCGAGAAGATATCGCCCAACTATTATTATCTGCAATTGGTTAAATGTATTTTTAATTTTGTATATAGTTAATATTTAACCTTAATTTTTAATTCAAAAAAAAATGTATTTATTTGTATACAAATATCAAATACGAATTTGATACTATCATTTCACAATCCTAAGATGGACTGAAATGTTTCATATTTGTAAAATTTTAATAGGAAGAATATGTTATAATTTATTAGTTATTCTCCTTTAGATAATATTTTTAAAATGTGATTTATTTTATAATTATAGAAATTTTTATAGAAAACATCTTAGACGATATCTAATGTAATATCAAGTGTTATTTGTGTTATCAATGTGCTTTTGAAGCAAAAACAACCTCACAGTTAACATTTTCGAGTATACGCTATAGATGCTGAAGGTTCAAATCGACAAATCAACCACCACACTGTCATGAGGAATGTTATCATTGCCAGTATTTTTTTTATATTTATAGACCTCCAACTACCTACCAAAATAGAAACACTCTTTGAACATTCCTATTGTTTTTATATTCTTCTTTTTTTGTAGGCTACGACCACTAAATGGTGTATTAATGAATTAATAGTACTAGAGTAGGTAAGTTTTTAATTGATGTCTCAGTATACTATACAGTATTGGTTAAATTAGCCCAAAGAAATCTGTTTAATTAAAATTATTTCAGTTTGTAATAATGAACATGAACTTGTAGCAAGTTTTGTTTTACAATTATGTTTGCGGCAAATTGAAATATATTTTTTCTAGTTATGCATAATAATATTTATTTGCTCATGCTATACTACATTTGCGACTATCGTCTTAACAGACAGGCTTAAACCTGCATGTGCCAATCCGTAAATTTTCTACATTATACACATGAAATTAATGGAAAATAAAAGTTCATATTATGTTCTTTTTTATTTATTTAACAAAACGTCTTTAAAAACAAGTAAAAATGAAATCTTAAACATCTACAAAATCAACATACAATATGTCACGTAGTTATATTGTTTTATAAATATTTTTAGTGCCAAAATTCAAAGTTAACACTAGGTAACAAAATAAGGAACTGGAATGAAAATGTAAATATTAGTAGACTCACCTATAAGATCCTTATGGATCAGTCGATCGCCTTATACTAAAAATTTTACCTGAATAACTTAAAACTAAAAAAATTGGAGCGTTTTAATGACATGGTATTTAAAACGCTTTTTAATGATTACTCATGTCTCAAAACAACAAACATTTTTTTTAACAAAAAAAAACAGAAGGACGTGAAAATTTTATACAAAAATATTAAAAAACAAAATCAACAATAATTATAAAGAAAACTCTTTGTAGTTTATGGCTTTTTTAAATCATTGATTCCAATCAAAAGTTGGGACAGAATATTTAGAACGTAAGAAAAACGCATATCGCAACGTAGTTTTTTTGCTCTAGCGACGGTTGTATAGATAGCGACAGTGTGCGAGCGAGAGGTTAGAGGCGACACCATTTTTAAGCCCGCACGGGTAGTAGATATCTTTTTATCATAATAGATCAGCATTATAACAAAAAATAATAATAAACACTCAAATCAATAAAAGTTGCTAAATACAAATTTTAACAGAAAGTTAACAGATTATTTAAACTGATATTTAACTGGGGACACTATTAATCTTATTTAAACACGTCTGGATTGATTAATTATAAAAAATACACTAAACTTAAAAAAAAAAACAGTACACTGGGTCAAAAAAAAAACTATTTTAAATAATGAATGGTTTTGTAACTTAAAATTCAAAATATTTATGTCAAATAAGGCGGTTTTTTAGTACATATTCTTATTAACTTTATGTAAAACAACACTTTATTACCTACACATAATTAGAATTAAGCAATCGTTATATTATTTAGTTATTTATCATTCAAATATATTGAAGTAACAAATATTTGAGTCTTGTTCCGATATTATGGACATAGAAATACTATTTTCATTTGTGATGCTCAGCAGGACCTTCAGACCATGCTGCAAAAGTCGCACTTGCTCTAAACATTTTGTTACAACTTGTCTGAAAAAGAAATCGGAAAACATTATTGATATTAACAATAGTAATGTTGAGGTTCTAACAGATTTCATATTTTGCCCACCAGGTTAAGTTATAATTATATTCGAACATTCAGAGTGATTATTGGCGGCCGGTGTTAGATACGTAAGAAAAATATTATATTACTTTTCGTATAAAGTCTGACATAAAACTCGACTAATTGAAAGACTAAGAAAACTTAGTATATATCTAGTGTGATACATTAAAACAATTTTTCGCTATTTTATGATATGTGTTTGAAAATAGAATCCTTTTCAAGTCCAACTTATGCTCTAAAATGCACTTGCTTACTCCGACATCTATTATATAAAAATAAATCGGGTTTTCCTTCCTGAGGCTATAACTCCAGAACGCACGAACCGATTTCCACGGTTTTGCATTCGTTGGAAAGGTCTCGGGCTCCGTGAGGTTTATAGCAAGAAAATTCAGGAAAAATTTCAACAGAAAAGCGGGAAAATCCTTTTTCACATACAGCGGCATCTCTGATACATAGCATGTACTACGAACCAATATTTTAAGTAGATGGCGCCGGTGCGTGATGAGAGTTCAACTTCAAAATGATCAATTTGCTGCACAATTTTCCAAACAATTGTTAGCTGTTGGAAATGGAAAAGTCCCAGTTGATGCGACATCTGGATTAATTACTCTTACCAACGACTTTTGCCGATTTGTAGACTCTCAATTAGCTCTTATTGAAAATGTTTTCCCAAACATTAGTGAGAATTATCAGAATTATGCTTGGTTAAGTCAACGAGCAATTCTCGCCGCAAAGAATAATGATGTACATGCACTGAATTTCACCATTCAATCAAAAATTGCTGGCGATTTGGTGACATACAAATCCGTTGATTCCATAACAAATCCCGATAATGTAATAAATTATCCAACGGAGTTTTTGAACTCTCTGGAGTTACCAGGATTTCCACCACATAACTTGCAACTCAAAGTTGGTACAGTTATTATGATATTGCGTAATTTGAATCCACCGCGACTTTGCAACGGTACTCGACTTTCGGTAAAAAGACTTATGCTGAATTTGATTGAGGCAACCATTATTAACGGAAAGTACGCAGGTGAAAATGTATGTATTCCTCGAATACCAATGATTCCGAATGATCTTCCGTTTGACTTCAAACGATTACAATTACCAGTTCACCTGGCGTTCGCAATGACAATTAATAAGTCGCAAGGCCAATCGCTTAGTGTTTGCGGGATAAATTTAAAAAATCATTGTTTTTCACATGGGCATGCAGCAGGGCAGTTATACGTTGCATGTTCACGAGTTGGGAAACCATCCGCTTTGTTTGTGTTAATGTCAGACCAAAAAACAAAAAATGTGGTTTACCAAAGAGCACTTCAATGAAACGGATAATTTGCGGACACGTATAACGCTTCGATTCAGTATTTACTTTGGATTCACTTTCATTTACTTAGAGAAGTTCAACTAAATAACACTTTATTTTTGTAATCGAAAAGAATTCATTACTCTTGTGAAATAAAATAAAATTTTTTCTTTTCAAATATAAAACAAAAAAAATTTTTCTTCTTTTAATCACCAAACGAAATGTTACATAAAACGTAGCCATCTGGTGGCGAAACGGAGTTCGCCGGATTTGCTAGTTCAATATAGTTTTAGCAGTTAATCCGAACTTATAATCTAATTAAACCAATTTATCACTTATAAATTTCAATTTAGAATTTTACGAACAGATGTTTCTCCTAAAATTAGACAGAAATTTACTAACGGATACAATATTTTAAATACTAAAAATTTCACCTAAAATAAATTAGACAGTATTTTTTATTATATAATATAAGTGACAAACGAATACACAGTCCACGTAATGGCAAGTGGACACTGACCCATAGACATCTACATATATCCTCGGTTAAGAATCAAAATGCAAATGTGCTGTCATCACTGAGGACTAAGATGGAATGCCTCATTTCCGGTAAAATGTGCCTCCGGTTTTTTACATGCACGCTGGCATTTTACGCTGGTATTCTGTGAGAGCGTGGTACTTCCCGGGTCGGGCCGACACATTCGTGCAACCATAATATAGTTGTTGCTTGGCTCTATCACGTAAGATACGATACTAAATTTACATTCACTATTAAAATCTGAAGAATGTCGTCGAATTCGTATATACTTGGCCTAAAACCGGCTCGATACAACTCCTATCAACAATAGATACGGCGTGAGAGCGAACAGTTATAGTTTCTTGACTTATAAACGAACTACCCAAAAATTTTATAAACACCATAACAGGAAAAATTAATAAAAATAAACTCAAACATTATTTGCTTTCGAAAAATGAAGTCAACACATAAATCAACACTACTACTACAGCATCATCCCAGAAGCACGTTTTGTACGTGATAAAGCCATGTTGCAGCTATATTAGTAGTATAGTTGTAGCACGAATGGGTCGGTTTAAGTGGGGAAGGACAACACTTGCAGAATACCAGCGTAAAATAGCAACTTAACGCTGTGTTTCGTATGGTGAGTGTAGAGACGAAACCGGAGACTTACTGGAAACGAAGCATTCCAACTTAGTCCTCACGGGTGACAGTGCATCTGCATTTTAATTCATAGTCGAGAATTAATGTAGATGTCAATGCGCCACAACAGCAACTACTTACTATCAGTGGAGAATGTGATAAGGGTGACCCGTTTGTCACCCTTATCCTATAGAAAAAACAAGCGCGGGGTTCACATACAGAGAAAATAACGCTATATTTAGTACTGCCGACACTGGCATCATATTTTCTTACCTGTATCGCGTAATTCTTTTGTCATCTGTCACATCGACTCCAGCTTTTATTAATAATGACTTTATGGTTGAGCCATCTTCAGGTTCCCTCTCAATTATTCTAAAATATTATGTATTATATATTTATTTTATATATTAAATATATTATGAATTTTAACTAGAAAATACTATCGTATTATTTAAATAATGTTGAAGTCGTCACCGAGACGCCGTAAAACTCATAGTACAACTCGCGGCACAAAAATCTAGCGGTGACCGTCATTGCGTATGATCTCCAATCCCATACCGTCCCCCGTACTGATACAACATTCGTAGCTATCCCCTCCACGTTTCGTTCAGCGCTAGAGCTGCGTGTCGCGACTTGTAGTCGATAATCACTTGTATGAGGCCGACGACCAATGGATTGCTAACCGTAAGCCCGTATGCACAGGATAGTAAAATATGCAATCCGAGAATTTTTTCGAAGATATTTCCTGCCGTGTTGGCGGCGTAAAAGAATTCATTTAGACTTTATCTCGTGGGTGTGGTAAGAGGCGATTGTAGAATACGCTAGAAATATTTCATGGTTTCCGATAGACAGGGTAGAACTATTTTGTTTGCTCCAGACGTAAAATATCCAGACCGGCGACGGTGTTTGGATCTGCAATTGACATTAAACGTCAATCACGGTCTGCGGCCTCAAAACCGTTTCGTTACCCTTAATAGAATTTTATGATGCCTAAACCTATAGACATTTGAAGAAAGAATCCATTATATTATCTTATGTAATATATATGTCGCAACCAACTAGCTTAATTAGCCTTTCAGTCAATATCCTAGCCGTTTTACTAAACGGCGGAGTTCAACTAGCGGCTTGAATGATATTTAGTCGATGCGCGTAAACAACATTGCAATTGCACATGTGAAATGAAATGAATGATTTTTATTCAATATAGATTATTACATAAACTTATTTTACGTCATTTTTAATTACCACTAGTTCGGAAAATACCTCTGTCCTGGGAAGGACCAGCAAGAAACCCAGCGGGACTGTCTTTTAAAAGATTTTTAAATTGATTTCAATAGAACCAGTATGGTGGCGATCACCTCATCCCCAGGGTTTATTTTCATTTATTTATTCTTTGGTATTGTAGTAACCCATTTTTCAATATTTTGTAAAATCAGCAGTAGGTTAAGGTGCAATTGGGGTGTCCATTGGGCCACCCTAAACCCACGTAATATAGTACATTTATGTAATATAGTACATTACTTGGCATGGTCACCTTATTAATATCATTAAACGAGGCGGCGCCGTTTAGTAAAAAGGCTAACTGCGACATATATAAAATGTTTACATTTGGACATGTGTTTCATAAGTATCATCCCATTGAATATAATTAAACTTTAACGTTAAGATTAACTTTAACGTTAAACTTAAGCATTAAACTTTAACTTATTACTAATTCCCTACGTTTTGGATGATTTACATCACCCATGGTCACGAGAAGCCTGATATCATAGTTAACCTGGGCTACCTTCAGCTTTATTAATTTTTGGTCCGATCAACGCAGGACGAGATAACTTAGAGCGAACAACACTTAGCTTATTATCCTGATGTCATGTAGATTTTGGAATTGGATGTAACTTTATTAATTAGACCCAAAATGTTCAGTATGAATATGTTGAGTATGTGTGGCAACTATTGCAAATATCCTATCATAAATATGACGCAAGTATGGAGGATGCTTACTTTCAGCTGTGGACTTTAAACAGCCTCTAACGATAAATGCATATAAAGAAATCCTATACCTTTAAACGAGCAATTCTTGTATATATATATATATATATATATATATATATATATATATATATATATATATATATATATATAATCGGAATCTCGGAAACGGCTCCAACGATTTTCATAAAATTTTGTGTGCAGGGAGTTTCGGGGGCAATAAAACGATCTAGCTAGGATTTATTTTTAAAAAATGTCTTTTTGTCCGTGTTTTTAGGCAATGAAAAACTGCTACAATATCGTTAGAATAAGAAGGTAAATTTTGACAGTTTATTAATGATTACAAATAGCTTAATTGGTAAATTGGGCGGTCACAAAATCGTAATACCATGGTTCGAGCCCAGACCGCGACCGACGACTGACTTTTTTAATTTTTTTTTCAAGTTCCTTTCTTTTTTGAGAAAATCTATTTTTTCGTGCCCTTTTTTTAGTATTTTTTAAAAACACGAAAATTTAATTAAACTAATTGCACTCATGATTTTTTATTCAAATAACCAGTTCAGTTTTTTCTATTATGTCGCTACGATCAAAAAATATTATTCGTATTTCATCAGTATGTAATTTGTATCTAAATATAATTTCCAAAACACACGAATTAAAAAAAAAAACCGAGCGAAAAATACCGAGCAAAGCTCGGTCAACCGGGTACTAATTAAATATTGATTAAACTTTCAAGTTTTTATTTAGTCTAGTAAAAAACAAAATACATACCTTTTTAACTCATCTGTAATAACTGATAGAAGCTTATACGTTTTCTCTGATTTATCGTAAATAGCTTTCCTGTTTTCTACCTGGATATTTTTCCCTTTAATTTCAACAACACTGTCATTTCTGAAAATTATAACAATAAAATTATTCTACGGTAATTTTCGTAGTTTTCTCAAAAAAGCTCATAAAGAACCTGCTCTAAATTATTACTTTGTCTTCTGTATGGCAAATATATTCAACGAAGAAGAAAATGTGTCTTTGGATATAAGAGTAATATTATCGGAAAAAACTTAAGAAGACCAAAGTAAATTTCATTTAAATGCAACACAAGCTCTCGATAAAAATGAATGCCTGATAAACAAAATGCGTTTCAAACATATTATAGATAGGGTATTATAACGAAGTTTTCAGGTACTGTAACAGTTAAACAGGTTTGATTTATCAGAGATGCGCGATAAGTGTGCGGCGTGAGGAGAGAGTTACAGTGAGACGCCATTTGTACACCTCTTCAGAGCGCTAGTATGTCGTCCGTCACCAGTATCTCAGAAAACTACTTTACTAGACAAAAGATCGATCGATATCGAAGAACTCGAGTTACAAAAAGATGGACTGGGTAATGTAAAAAAACACTCAATCAAAAAACGCTACAAGCAAACAATACGTCTGTCATAGCGTTAAGTCTCACCGGAGTCAAGTCATCTGCGCAGGACATGATTATAATGCACGAGTGTGTGCGCAAGCACAGGTGCACTCTACTCTCATAGTCCGATGGAACCACAATCCGGCAAAGCCTGAGAGAAATCAGGCGCAGGAAAAACAGCTTTACACGCATTCCAAGGCCAGGGGCTGGGACACCGCCAACCAGGGTGTTACTGAGAATTTTTTTTTTTCAACAAAACCCCTGTAGCTGATTTTTGGGTATGACCCGAGATTCCAGATAATTCCCACATGATAAGCATCGCGGTTACGAGCACCAAACCAAAGGAACAGTCGCCTAGTACAGGACAAGCGTAAGGTCCTCCTGGAGCTTTGTGACCTTTTTCGCCCGTCAAATTATTCCCACACTTGGTACACTCACCTAAAGGCTATATTGTAACACCAGTATGGTACATTTCAAAACTTATTCAATTAAATTTCAATCATCAGATAAAAGTTATAAGGAGATAATAAAGAACCGTGGTAGCTCAAGGGCTAAACGCTGGCTGTAAATTTCACAGTACGCGAGCAACCCGGGTTCGATCCCCGCCGGCACCGATCAAATTGTTAATAGCAATTTTTAAGTACTGATTTACCACGTGCTTGGCGTTGAAGGAAAACATCGAGAGGAAAACTGCATGTCTGAAAAATAAGAAAAAAATTTTCGAAGACATGTCAAGTTCGCCAACACGCATTGGGGCAGCGCGGCGGACATTTCCTTGCCCTAAAACCCTCTCAAAAATGAGAGGCCTGTGCCCAGCAGTGGGCTTTATATAGACTGTTACTTTACGTTTACTTTACGATAGTAATTTACAACATAAACAAACAAAAAATTACAGTAAAATGATAAAAACAATCTCAATTGTTTGACTTTTATATTCGGTGATGTTACAATTTATTTGATGGGTGAAAACATAAGACGCAACTACAATGATACCTACGCAATCATTCGATTTAATAATAATATTGTTAAATACATTGGAGTACTGACCCAACACATGCATAGTGCCTACATAGTATTTGTTTAATTCTTCGGTTACTAATTTATACCAACGAGACAGATTTTCATTAACTACTTAACACTTACAGAATTTCATGAACTTTTAAGCTACGCAATAGATTTTGATGCGGTTTTTATTAATAGACAGAACGATTCAAGAGGAAGGTTTATAAGTATAAGTACCTGGATGTAGAGCTTTCATCGGTATTTTTTTGTTGGAAATCGTGTGTTTTGGAAATTATATTTAGATACAAATTACATACTGATGAAACATGAATAATATTTTTTGATCTTATTGACATAATAGAAAAAACTGAACTGGTTATTTAAATAAAAAATCATGAGTGCAATTAGTTTAATTAAAATTTTCGTATTTTAAAAAAATATAAAAAGGGCTCGAAATAATAGATTTTCTCACAAAAGAAGGGAACTTGAAAAAAAAAGGAAAAATAGTCGGACAGAAAACAGGACACGAACCAAGGCATTACGATTTCGCGACCGCCCGATATCCACTTGAGCTATTACCATCATTAATAGTGTCAAAATTTACCTTCTTATATTGTAGCAGTTTTTCATTGCCTGAAAACACGGACAAAAAGACATTTTCTACAAATGCATCCTAGCTAGATCGATTTATTACCCCTGAAACTCCCTGGACACAAAATTTTATGAAAATCGTTTCCGAGAGTTCCGAGCCGTTTCCGAGATTCCGATTATATATATATATATATATATATATGTGTGTGTGTGTGTGTGTGTGTGTGTGTGTGTGTGTGTGTGTGTGTGTGTGTACATTATTATGATTGATTTAGTATCTACTGCTGAACGTAGATTAATAATGTAAGTTACAATTTATAACCAATTGACAAATTTAACCAACTTAAATGAACAATAAATACACTTTTTTAAACTGGAACGACGTTTGAAATAAAAAAGGTAGGCGTAGTGTAGGGCGACCCCCCACTAGATGGAGTGACGACCTGGTAACATATGCAGGAAGTCGATGGATGCAGGTGGCTCAGGACCGTGCTTTGTGGCATTACTTGGGGGAGGCCTATGTTCAGCAGTGGACTTGTGAAGGGCTGTAATGATGATGATGATGATTATATATATATATATATATATATATATATATATATATATATATATATATATATATATATATATACACACAAGAATTGCTCGTTTAAAGGTATAGGATACATGCATTAGCTATACTTACATAAATTTATAAACTAACTTCAACGACGAACTCATTTCAACAAGAAAAGTCTTTATAAATGTATAAGCGTGGTAGTTTTCCTTTCCCAATCCACTGTCATCATTGGAGGCATCTGAAGCTAAGAACTGAATATCCACTGATTTTTTAAAGATATTATTAACTTGCGTCTCATACGCTGTATCATCTGTAAATGTTTCACTTATACCGTCTAAAACATCTTTTCCGCCGTGTATCTTATCATTTAACTTTAAATGTTTATTTGTTCCGAATCTATCTTCATAAATCATATGGCTGTTTGGCTTATTTAATGAATTACAATCGAACTTTTCTAGCGATTTATTATTTAACTTATCTTCAAATGCCTTAATAATTCCGACATTTCTTATAACTTTTGGCCCGCAATTCGTTTTATGATTACTACTAAATGTGTTTCCGTGAGTTACAGGAAAGTCGAAATCTTGCAAAGAGTCAAATGTTTTTTCATGAATATTTTTTGCTTGAGATCTTTTTGATTTAGCCTTAATAATTTTATTACTTTCCCGTTGATCCTCTTTTTCATTAGCTGTAATACTTTCCTCTACATTGTCATTATTTACATTAAAGTCTAAAGTAATTTTATTATAATTGTTAATTTTTAATGTATTTAAATGACGACCTATGGTCCTGACAATATTTGGTGAATTATTAAGGTCTTTCTGTTGAACAAAAAAAAAATAATCGTTATTGAAAAATCATTAACTTATTTCTACCTAATCAAATAAACACAACAGAAGATGAAATTATATTTATCGCGCTTATATTTATAGTGCTTATTAGTTATTACAGTATAGTTATAATTTCGTATACTTACGATTTGTTTAGTACAATCACCAAGTTTTATTCCTACTTTTTCATTATATGTTTTCCATTCCGGGACATATTTTTTTAGGTATATTAATACTTCTGAAGGTTCCTTCACAACTAGAAATAAAATGATTGCATTTGACTGATCAAAATCTAAATAGGTTTGTTATTATTAAATACTCAATAAGAAATCCGATCGGGTCGGGTACATCCAAAAAAAAAAGATAGTTAAAGGGGGCCAGTAATGTTAAATTACAACAGTCTACACATTAGATGAGACGTATTAAATTTTTTCAGCAGGTCAAATAAAAAGGGAAAACCCAACACTGGTGAATGATAGGGATCTATGGTTTGATACTGTCAGTACTAGTTGATAATATAAAAATATTTCTGCCAGTTAATGTAATGGGGTTAAATCCCAAAATAGTCTGACTTTTATAACAAAAATTAACATAAAATATACCGATTTAAAAATACTTAAAATACTAATGCATTTCTTTATTGTAATCAAAATTGAAAGATGGAATATAACTTACACACATGTTTAGGAGCACAAATATCCTCCTCGATATCAATGTGGCTATTTGGTGGAGTTTGTGTAAATTCTAAGTGCTTTGGATCAGTTTCAGGGTTTTCTATACAATGAAGTAAGTAGACCAGCAACTCTTCCGTCTCCTTCAAAGTTTCCGAATTTGGTCTAATAGTCTAAAATGTTAAATTTGGTAAATTACTAAAATCTTTTTAAAAGAAGTTACTAGTTTTTCTAGTAGTCAATGGGCACATGGCCAATTGTCCCTGGACTGACTATCCCCAAGTGTAAATTAATTTAAGAAAAAAAAAACACATTTTTATTCTTGTATTCTATGTGTAAAATTAAATAGATACTTATGTTAAGTTTCCAAAAGCCCCCAAAAGTTTTGGTACCCTATATAGTGAATGGTGTAAAATGTTAAGGAATATAAAATCTTTAGAATAAGTGATTATAAAAGAAAAAGAAAATCAAGAATTCTATATTTTTAAATAAAATTTAAAGGCGCATTTACCTTAATTGATTCCACCAAAAGCTTTCCACATCCTATTGTTTTTAAAACATCATTAGGATTTATGTTTGCTTGAAGTTTACCTGGAATGGTACAACTTATGAAATAAAATAACGCTCATGCTGTACGCCTCTATCATGCTGTATATCTCGGTTAAAAATTTTAAGCATTTCATGAAACAGTTTTATATGTGTAGCAAATACAAAATAATAATAAATAAACCAAGTTTTAATGGCGAGGTTCGTTTAGCTTGATAGGTAACAAATTGAAATAAATAGGATATGAGAGAGCTTATTTTCGACATTGGATCAGGAATGGAATCATAAATTTGTTATGTAGTAGTAAAAAGATTTGAGATCCCTAGTTTAGCTCATCACCAGAGGCAGACTTACATAAATAGATACATATACAATCAACCAGAAGTCCTGACGCATACATGCTCGTCGGTTAAGGATACTTTTAATTTGGCCCACTTTCAATACATCGCTAATTGGTCGATTAATTTTCGTCTAAGGCGCCCCTTCTCGACTCACATCTGATCATCACTCACTTCACATCTGCAACATACCTTGTCACTTTTTTCCTTGTTTATTCTTTCTACCTTTGGTCATAAAGCACCGAAGTATTCATTTTTAATCCTGGTCACAACATCATCTTGCAAACCACACTTTTCTCTTATTACACAATTTCTCACCCTGTCATTCAGATTCCGCAACAACTTACTCCTTAATTATCACATTTCTACAACATCTATTCTACTCTCGTGCTTCTTCTGCCACATCTAACTTTCACTACCACACATTAAAGTAGGGACACACATTACATTATCTAATATATAATTTAATTATACATTCGGATTTTTCACATTAATGTAAAGCCCATTTACTCTTTCCTCCTCTCTTTCCTGCGTTCACTCGTCGTTCTATATCCTTTTCATATCTACCATCCCTGCTCAATCACATCAAACACATCCCAAATATACACTCATCTACTTGCTCAACCAACTCCCTTTCTATCCTTATTTCACATATCTTTTACTTTTTTGATATATGATCAGTCTGGTTGTGAACAGACGTGTCAAATAGTAATCAAAATAATTAAATAAGTATGTGCTTAGCCGTGACCTCCTTATAACTATACCGGTAGTAACTGTGACATACTTTAGTTATACCATAGAATACTATAATACACAATAGAATGACTGTCAACCTTATTTTGTGCAAGGATGGGCGTCGCTGGGGGCACACATACAAGCAATTACGTCGTATTATCACTATTCACTACTACAAACCCGATTCGCTGTGTTGACAGAATGAGTAAATTTAAGACTGAGTAAATTTAAACATTTCAGACTTTTGATTAATGTTCAAGATCATCATAAAAAAATCGTTTAAATTTTAATACATATTTATTTGTAAATAGTGTGCAATTTGGTATTTTCTAAATAATTTGTTTTTCACATCTCGTGTTGACATTTATACGTGTGAATTGACATGTTAGAGACAGACCGAAGGTTTAAACACTTGGCATAAGGGAAACTCAACTACAACTTTTTACCGATTACCATAGTGATCGCTCTCAATATGTTAAAATCGGTGAGTATACAAGTACTGAATTACAAAACAGCTCTTATGGCGTCCCCCACAGGGCAGTATCGTGGGCCTACATTGTTCCTAATTTATATAAATGACTTATACAACATCTAACTTCAAAGTGGTTTCATAATGTCATATGCGGATGACACAGCCCTGTTGCTCTCAGCTTAATCACGTGATGATTTATAAATACGCTCAGCAAGGCTTTAACATAGCATCTAATTAGCTTCTTAACAATCTCCTAAATCTAAACGCAGATAAAACAAAATATATGTTATTTTTAATGAGAAACAATAACACACCTGCATGATGACACTGCATGTGCATGCCCCGCATTAACAAAAACAGACAATATAAAATATCTAGGTATCACCAGCCATGTGCTGGATTTACTACGTGCTAGAGTTCGTAAATTAATATATATTTTTAAATATATTCGTAACATCGCCGACTTTAAATTGACAAGACAGATCTATTTAGCTTTGTGTCAAACCATACTCACTTATGGCATTACTTCCTTCCTGGGGTGGTGCTTCTAAAACATTATTGCTCCCACTAGAACGTGCTCAGAGAGCAGTTCTAAAGGTAGGCACTTTCCTTTCATGTTTCCTACACATCAACTTTACTTGGTATGCAGTGTACTAACTGTCCGTCAGTTGTTTATTCTGAACATCATATTAAAACAGCATACCGAACTTCCATTTAATTCAAAATCCATAGACAGGAGAATGATACTATGAGAATGGACTTAGTTTGTGTAAACCCTCAAACCAAACACGCATTTGTGAACATATTTCACATATTTTTAGGACCATTTCCGTATAACAAGCTCAACAAGCCACTAAAGATACATAAAGTGTAAGTTATAAGAAATGTGATATAATTGTAAGGGAACTTCTGAATAAATTAAATTACGAAGACACAGAGAAGTTGTTAGAAATTCTAAAGTAGTTTTGTATTAATGTAGGTTACAAATAATTGTTATGTAGTTATTTTATTTTATAATACAGTTTAATTATTTAAATTATCTTGTGTCCTATATTATAAAATTCATAGTGTAAGATGTAAGTGATAATCTGGAACCCAGGTACTTAACCTAGTTCAGGCAAGTAGCTAATATTATAAACTTGAGTTTTCAATTTTTCTTTTGTAAATTCTACATCATTAAGCTACACATAGTTTTAATTTTTATTATTGAATGTTATTTTTATTAGACTTATTTTTTTTTATCATTTGAAATTCGACCGCTGACGACGCAAATATGACTTGATTATCGGCGTACAAAAGACACTTGACGGTTAACTCATCCATTCTTGACCCATATTCTTCTACTTTCAAAGTTTCCAAACAACTGTCCATAAATAGGTTAAGCAGTCACGGGGAACAAGCACAGCCCTGTCTGACTCCGAGTAGACTGACTCTCTCTGAGTAGGCCCCGTTGATCTTAACATAAGGACCAGAGTATGTAGTAGTCAAAGAGACTTTAATGCCTGTATCAAACCAGCCTTCAACCAAAATGAGTTTAGTGATTGCGAAAACACATCCCTGTCCACTCTGTCATAAGCCTTTTCCTCGTCCATGAATGCCCAAAAAAATTTCTGGTTTTTGGCCATAAACTTCTCCGCGATCATGCGGATGGAAAAGACTTGATCCGTACACACCATTACCCTTCTAAATCCGGCTTGCATATCCCAAACTTTTCTATCAGTTTTTTTCTTAACTCTTTCAATAAACACCTTAGCATAAAGTTTACCCAAAATACATATATACTAAGCAGGCTGATGCTACGGTAGTTTTTACAGTTCTGCTGTGACCCTTTTCTCTTATATATTGGGACTATAATGGCTTCGCAACAGTCTTCCTCCTTTAAATTAAACAACGTGACCAGCAGGCCTGCAACCACTCCCTCCCCAGCCATTAACATTTCGAGTTATACTCTATCATATCCGGCTACCTTACCTGCAGACTTACCATTCGGATTTATTAAATTATATAACGCCGATAATCCATAGGCAGCTATTTTGATCGGTGGGTGATCATCAAATAATTTAGCTACATCATCTGCAGTTTCGAGTATTGTGCATGGATTTATACTAGAAACCGATTCATCCTAAAATTAAGAAAGATCAAAAATTAACACTACTATTATTATGAAGCATCTGCCAAATTTAGTAAACATTCATTCTCTTTTTGATGTACATGTTGTCCAGAAGGTCTGGGTTTTATTATATTCGAATGCCGAATGCAGCACGCGGATCGGCTTATGGAGGAAATCCATCTAAATATTATTGATGGAGAATTAATGAGGGGGATTTAATGGGGGAACAGCGTTAGAAAGTTAGGGAGTATCAACTCGAATGGCCCCGTGTCGCAGTGGCCTAATAATGAAGTAGCGGCGGTTTGATACCCGCATGGAACGAGTGTTTATACGGCCCTATAAATAATTGTTCCGAGTCTGGATGTATGTTCTGGTGCAATTTATGTATGTTAACTACCTTCACCACATTTAACAACCCACCTGTCGAGTATAAGTATGACCATTCAAGAAATACGCCATTTAACACATTTTTGGAGCACCTAATTATTTTGTAATTGATTCAGAAGACTGACAACGAATGATTGATTAGGCACTGTTTGTTCAAAGACATCTTTACCCATACTTATATATTATAGATATAACTATGTTGCATCTTCTGAGTATTGGAATACCCAGTTACCAGCAATGATTGGTGTTCGCCATACCAGACATCTCGCATAACTACTAAATCTGGTAATTTTACTACTGCTATGTATGAGATAATTAGATCGCCATGGGAATGTAATGATCGACACCATGCTGGTTCTATAAACATTCATTTAAAAAATGAAATAGTACTATTGTAAAGTGTTTTGTGATTCTTTCCAGGACAGAGGTATTTTCCGAAAAAAGAAAAATAATAAAAGAAATTAATTTCAATAAGTATTAATAATATAAGTATATAATATTCTATATTGAACTAAAATCATTCTATTCTATTCTAGCCATCTATTAAAGAATTTGAGATCTTTCTTTTGCTTGTTTTCTTTCTAGTTGACTACTACGAAGGATAGGCTTGTTAACGAGGCGAGTATAGACAAATATTTCACACCTACCTAAATCCAACAGCAGTAGATTTATAATATATTTGGCAAATACGTAGCTAAATAAAATAATTATACTCACTCTTAGTAAATCTACCATAAAATTCTCCATGATTTGCGTAAAAGTGCAAATCCATTCATCTGCCCGCAAAGTTATTCGGTCTTCTATCACTTTGCTCTTCAATTGGAACTGTTTTAGTTTTTCATACAAACTCAATTCTATAGATATCGCTGGATCTTCAAAATCATCTATATTATTATCTTCTCTTATATGTTTTCGAGTGGTAGAAGAATTAAATTTTCTTAGACACAAGGAATCATAAATTTCTGAACCATCACTAGAAATTATATTTTTATCAACATACTTTTTGTTTTTAATATCAATACACGCATTATTTTTATGGTTTCCTGAAATATCATTGTGAGTTGAAACATCTGCATTAAATATGGTTTTTTTAACATTTAACAATCTGTTAACCTGATTATAATCAACATTTGCATTCCTTTGAGTTTTAGATTCTTTTGAAGAATTAGTTACAAATTGATTCAATGAGTTAGTTTCTTTATATGGCTGTAATTGGGTGGTATTTGAATTACATTTTTCTAAATTTGAATTCACAGGATTATTAAGATCAATTTTCAGAACTCTTTCATTGTGAGATGGTTCTGAATAGTAGTTTAAATCACATTTTTTATTACGGACGATTCTTTTAATGTCTGAATAGCTAACTTTTAAATTCTGAAAATCTCGAGTAGTTATATCTTCTTTCAACTCAATCAATCTTTCCTTATTTTCTAAAACATATGGCTGCAAATTATGTACTTTCTGCAAATGTATATTTTCTAAGCTTTTATTTTTACTCAGGGATTTTTCACAATTATTATTATCAATTTTCCAAACTCTTTTATCGTGACATAGTTCTGAATAGTTTTTTAAATCACATTTTTCGTTATGAACGATTCTTTTAAGATCTGAATAGCCAACTTTTAAATTCTTTAAATTGTAAGTAGTTATATTTTCTTTTGACTCAATCAATCTTTCGTTACTTTTTAAAATAAATGGTTGAAAATTATGTGTTTCCTCCAGAAACGGTACATTTTCTAAGCTTTTATTGTTACTTCGAGAGTTATCACAATTGAAGGAAGATTGTAATAGTATATTTACTACACCAGCTTTTATTTGCTCAAGCATGTAGCAATGAACATTTAGAGCTATACCTTCAGCATAAAGCTCAGTGTCGGTGGTTATCAAAACCTGTAAGAATATAAGAGGTACTGATATAATTCAAAAAATATTAATCTCGAAATGGGAAGGTAAGGAAAAACAATTCTGAGGTGTAGACTCATGTATGTATATTGATAACAAACCTATACCTACTATCTCAACTTCATCTGAGTTGTAAACGTGAACAGAGAAAATCATCTAAATGGAAAATATGTTAAAAACATTATTGCACAATTACAGAGATTTATTGTACGTAGTGGCAGAATAGTGCGTGTGTGTAGTCGTGTATAGTACGTGCCAAATCGATTGAGAAAAACGGAGAATGACCTTTCGGTCGTTTAACCAGGGGCTACAAAGCTTCAATATATTGGCACTTTTTATATGTAGTACTTTCTTTATTTATAATGATTTTTTAATTATTTTTTTATGTTTGATATAATATATATTTATTAACTATTATTAAAAATTTATGTAAAAAATCGCTGTAGAAGAAAATTCATCTATTGTTATAAAGTACTTTATTCATTTAACAACAAAAAGCATTAATTTATAACACATATAAAGTTTCGAGTGATAACGACACCGAATAAGTACGTTCTTATTCAAAAGATAAAAATTTATTTTTAATATTATATAAGAACTTTATTTTTATTCAGTGCATGCGGACCGGCCCAAAAAAGTGACGCATCTCTGGCTGCCATTGTCACGTCACTTTTAGAACGAACTGACGTAACGCGCGTTTTGTTTATTTAAAGGGATGAATTTACAAAAGCTCAATATGGTGATTATATTGCTTCAAATATTTTTTTCAATATGAAACTGTTATTAAATGAATTGCTGCCGTTACTTACCATAAATTGAAATATAAAATATAACACATTTTTCGCGATGTACCATAAGATTTTACGATGTTTATAGGAACCACAAACAATATTATTTAAGAAACAAAAAAACATATATGCTAACCTAGATCTATCTAAATTGAGATTTTGTACGTTACGCCTTTTGACACTCGGCTCATATATTAGGTCATTGTCCGTTTTTCTCAATCGATTTGGCACTAACTATAGTGACGGTGTAAAATTATGCACTACCCCGGTTCGGGCCTTTACGACCTACTACGAGTGATACAGAGAAACTGAAATGGGAACAGCAGATGGAGAAAGAACATCTAACAACTCAAAACTATAAAATACTGCGATTGGTAACCCACCTGCCAAGCGTTACAACTACTGCCCCTTCATTACGGGGCTGCAGACTGTCTGACCTCCATGATGTTTTATATAAAAACATGATAATATATCTCTGTAACTTCCCCACCTTTGAATGATTGAAGGCAACTTGGTGGTGGGTAAGACAAACATGATCGAAAATGTATTTACTCAATGGCAGTGACATAAACCCTTTCTGATGGCAAATTATTACTAACATCTTATAACTGCCTTTTGACTATATCTGTCGTTGTATTGGTTGGTGGAGCATATGTGTTGACCTCATGCGGGTGGTAGCTGGAGGGAGGATCTGAGGACACTCTCAAGGCTGCGGCCGAAAGCCGCACAACGTGGGACCCCATTCCCTTGAGGTGAGCGGTAGACTCATGACACGCTCTGCGGCTAGTAGCCGTGTTGATCATGCAATCGGTGGTGATGCCATAGACTTACATCACGTCTACAAGAGCGGCGGTCTGGCAGGTGGTGGCGCTCACGGAGGGTTTACGGCCAGTGAGCCTACTCGGCTAAACCGTGTGACATACTCGTACATTCACTGTGGCTGGATTCGATCGTATTCTTTATGGCGTTTACACGCATTGACAAGCGCGACTTCGGTCGATAATTGTGCTTACGGACTACCAAGGGGCCAAGCCATCTTTTACTGCTTCGCCAGTTATTTTGCTGTGGACTGAGGTCCAGTACCTGAATTAGCATTCCCTTCTGGGGGAGTGCATCAAAATGGTTGGCGCTCACCGCGCACGGCGTGTGTGGAGCCGTGTGCCTCGCCTACCTACATTTTTTTAAATAAATATAGGAGAGCTAAACCCTTGTATTGGGTATTTTGTATAAATATATTGCGAGCCTTTTCCAAGCGGGAAGGGATTAATAATAATAAATTAATAATGTAAACCTAAAAGATCAAGTGATCGCTGCTAGAGCAATAGCAGCGATCACTTGATCTTTTAGGTCGCAGTGATACTCGTCTTTCTAGACCAGCATAAGTGCCCACACAAAAAAGCTATGCAGTCTTAATCTATGGATTTACCAACATTTTTTTCGGGGTTATTATTTTGTCGTATTGTTTGAAAATTTTGCCAGAATTTTGAAACAGTACCGAGCCTTTTCATTTTCTCTAATAACAGATAGATCCAATTTTTAAGTCAGCCCGATCCCGAAGAAAAAATTCATTATTTATGTACGAAGGTGGGGTAGGTGCGATACAAACTGATCCTAAAGAATTGTTAAAATGAACGTTTTGTACCCTGTGATTGATACAATTAAAAGTGCATTGGTTACTTGACTCAAACTATCAAAATTCTATGATACGTATTCATTTTTATACAAAATGAAAATAACTCCTGAAAGGTCAAAAAGCCTGTGTTGATATGCAAATCAGTTGAACAGATGGGCATAATGTGAATTGAAGAAAACTCCCTGTGAAACGTACAGTGGTGGACCGCCAAGCATCCAGATCGTGTGGATGGTATCGGGACGTTTGCTGCGTAGTGAGTTTACGAAATTTGGCGGTTGGGATTAATCCGAACAATTCGTCAGAGCAATCCCCATGGTATATGCGAAAGAATATGCAAAGAGATGCAACATCTCTTCGCAGCGCCAGTGAATCGAGCCGATCGGAAAGCACTGGGTCCTCGACGATTCGAGCCGCTCTGCGCTGGATGCGGTTAAGTGGAAGTAGCTGGTACTGGGGAGCTCCATCCTGCCTGCGCCTTGTAAAGTTGCAGGCGGTGTACCGGCATGAAATACTGTCCCGTTCTGCTGAGCACGACAAACTTTTTAGAGGCCAATTTGGCCTTCTCTTCCAAGTGACCATGAAACTGCACGTCACTCGATATGTCGACGCCTAGGATTCTGATACTGGCTGAGGCAACAAGGGGAGTGCCTTGAAACTGAGGAGATACGACAAAGGGGTTCTTTTTAGCGGTTAACGCGCAAACTTGTGTCTTCTGAGGGTTAAACTGGAGTAGATTTAGTCGCCCCCAATCCGAGACTCTGTTCAGCAAATTCGACTTCAGACACGAGTTTGTCCCGGTACTCGGAGTAGTTTTCCCGAGAAATATTGGCATGGCCGGCGTACAGAGCATCACTAGTGCTGTCTGCATAGCAATGAATGTTACGGGTTTGCAACATATCATTGATATGCAGAAGAAACAGCGTTGGCGATAGCACGCAGCCTTGTGGAACACCAGCATTAATAGGCTTGTGATCGGAGCTTGCACCGTCTACAACGACCTTGATGCTCTGATCTGCAAGAAAGCTGGTGGTCCAATTGCACAATTTCTCAGGAAGCCCATAGGAAGGGAGCTTTGAATGCGGCGCTTTGTGCCAAACCCGATCGAAGGCCTTCGCAATGTCCAAACTAACGGCCAATGCCTACCCCTTGGACTCTACTGCCTCCGCCCATCTATGATTGGCAGGATATTTTTCCAAATGTGTAGACAGCACTTCGTATCTTGCTGACTATACCTTTACTATAACCGTCACTAAACGGAAACGAAGTTTTAGTACATTAAAACTTCTAAAAATATTCCTACGTTTCTACTATGTGTCAGGAAGGACTGTCACGTCTTGGAATCTTTTCCATAGAAAATTCTATTGCCCAGAAGTTAAATTATTCCAAATTAATAAAAAATTTGCAAGCGCACAAGCCAGAAAGCTGGCCGTTTAGGCTTTTCATTAAGTTTGTTGTTGGTAGTTCTTTTATTTTTTTAACACTTTTATTTTTTTTATTCGTCTCACTGCATTGTTTTTTATTTTTCCCCCCTGATTGTTGAGTTGTTTGGCGGTAGACATGCATTTTTTGGACTTTAATTTGCATACTCACCACATGATGTTTATCTTCTATTAATTTAAGACAGCAATGCATAATTTCTACAGAAACCGATACACTCAGATCTTGCTCCGGTTCTTGTACTATTAATGTGTTAAAAAAATTGAAATAGATTATAAGCAAAAAAAAATTATACCTACATCTGAAAAACCCTTATTAAAGTACAGTAAAAGCTTCTTATTCGCGCTTCCTTCATTCCCGTTTTCACTATTCGCGAATTAAAAAAAAAATGCTACCCGATTCCTATATTCGCGGCTAAAGATTTCTTTATTCGCGGATCTAATCGGTACATCGGTTCATCGGCTTCAACAAGCACTGGAAACGTGACATTTAATTTGATAAATCTTAGTGAATGTTTAAGAATGGCAAATGAGTTTTGTGATTTCTTTATGAAAATTGATCCGTCTATGGAACGAAATCTTACTTTTAAGAGGCAAGTTGCTTATGCCACTGCTGAATATCGGTCTGAATTGGAGGATCTTTTAAAAACTGCCGTGCAAGAAAAAATTACAAAATTCTTTAAACTATTGCCTAAGTCTGAAGATAAAAATTAATTGATATGGTCAAAAACTTAAATTTAATTGATTTTTTTTATTTATTTGTTTCCCATATAAATTATCATTCCATATTCACGGTTTCTGTATTCGCGGCATATTTACGGAACAGTTAACCCGCGAATAAAGAGCTTTTACTGTATAATCCATATTATATACATAATACTGTAGATCTGTCTAGACAGACGCTAAGGTTGTTTTTTTTAAATAAAACAAGTGACAGGACAAGACTTATAGAAACCTATATTAGTAGTACAGTTGTAGCACGAATGGGTCGGTTCGACCGGGGAAGGACCACGTTCTCACAGAATACCAGAGTAAAATAGCAGCGTAATGCTGCTGTGTTTCGTTTCGGAGTGTAGAGAATCGGAGACTCTTTTTTCTGGAAACGAGGCATTGCATCTTGGTCCTCACGGGTGACAAAGCGTCTGAATTTTGATTCGTATTTGTGGATAGATGTAGATGTATATGGGGCACAGCAACCACTTACCATCAGGTGGACTGTGTGATCGTTTGTCACCCTATCCTACAAAATTATATAAATGTTTTTTATTTAAATAAAAAAAAATTAAATGACAAACTTACAGTCCACCTGATGGTAAGTGGAAACCTGCAGCAAACTTCAAAAAACGAGGCTGCAGATGCCTTATCCTCTCTGAGGAATAAGATGGAACGCCTCACAGCTTATAATTATACTAAATATTTGGCATCAAAAATATGAAAGAAGGTGGTACACTTCTACTTGACTACCCAGACAGACACCAAGGAAGAAACGGAATCCTACCATCTACTTTATTACAGACAGTATGTTACATTACATACATAGTAAAAACGATGGCGACGTCGTATTATTGAGGTCAGATCTCAATAATGAGGTAAGAGAGTCAACTGTCTCATATTTCGGGTGTCGTAAGAGGCGACAGATGGAAACCTAATATAACTAAAATAACCTAATATAAAAAAATTACCTAATAATAAATAAATTACGGTGGCAACCCGCCTGTCAAGTGTAGCAGCTGGAAACTATGTCAAAATCTCCCCCCTATGAAGCAATTTATAAGGGCATTATATTTAATTTATTTAATTAATTTATCTATGCTCACCGGTGGATTTTTGATAGGCTGTAATAAATTAATGAATGAGTAATAATTTACATAGGGTCAATATTCTATTTTACTCTTTATTTATATAAGTGGTAAAAAAATATTAACTGAGGCTTTAGAATAAGGAGCATTTTTTTTAGGTTTTCTTGAAGCAAGGGTGATAAGCAAGCACTCTGTTCACCTTTTGGTAAGTGTATACCCTGGCCTATAGACGACTAAGAATCAAAACTGTATTTTGTTAGCGACTACTACTATTTTGGTAACTACGACAGAACTACGGCACTAAGACAGAACGCTTTATTTAGTAATAAGAGACTCCGGTTGTCGACAGTCACCAACACAACGGCATAATTTTATTATTGCATTTTTTGTACGTGGTAGAGCCATGCTGTAGTTACATTAGTAGTATAGTTGTGGCACGAATGGGTCGGCTAGACCGGGGAAGGACCATGCTCTCACAGTATACCAGCGTGAAATGGTAGCTTGATGCTGCTGTGTTTCGTATGGTGAGTGTAGAGAACCGGAGACCCTTTTTACTGGAAACGAAGCATTCCATCTTATCTATCCTATAAAAAAAACAACATTTGTATTATAGCTATAATATGCTTCAGTGTTACTATACCTTAAACAGACATTTATAAAATTGATGCGAAAAATATTATTTCAAGCTTAATAAAAAAACGTACACATAATATGCTGCAGTGGGTTGACGAGTTTCCTTATCAAATTTCGGGCAGCCAAGACTGGTTGGCTGCTGTTATATTTAAAAAGTGATAATTCTTCTATTTCACATAAAACTGCATGCGGTATAATCAGCCGGCAGTCCTCATCTAAAAGGTTATAATTATGTATTATTATATAAAACTTAAAAAAAAAAGTAAAACACTGACTTAAAATATTTAAAACAACAAATTTCTCAAAAATAATAATTTCTATACTTATATCTTAGAACGGAATTCAGAAGCAATTATGTGGAAATCATCTTTTATTTTAAATTTTTGAAGTTCGTTTGAACTTTTTATGAAAGTTTAATTTTTGCGTATTCGATAGCCAGTCATTTACTCCATAGAACAATATTACATTTTATTTGAAATTGATTACACGAAATGAAGATGATTAAATATCATTATTAAATGTCATAATAGATTATAAATTAAACAGTACTAGATTTAAGTTTATTTTGAAATTTGTGGTGGCAATAAATAATTTTAAATGAGGTAGGCAAATAATTTAATAGTGGAATGGCTTGATATCTTGTGCTGTCGCGTACAACATTCAAAGTAGGTATAATTGAAATTTTTAAATCTTTTCGACGTGGCTTTTCTCTCATTTTTATTTCTTTGTTTTTTTCATATTTGTAAAAGTTTTTTACAAAATATGTAAGTAAAACTAGGATATACAGAGAGGGAACCGTAAGTATGCGAAGTTTTCGGAAATGTCCTTTACACGATTCAATTTGTGGAATTCGTAACATGGTGCGGATCGCTCTTTTTTGTAATACAAACGCTGTCTTAATATTATACTTATAACTGTTGCCCCAGAATTTTATGGTATAATGAAGTTTTCTACTAGAGCAAAATAAACCAATTTAAGCTGCTTTAACGTAACTTTGTCTCGTAAACTTCTTAAGGTATAGCATGCTGAACTGATAGTAGATTCTGGTGCTTTCATTTCCTTTTTCCAATTCAAATAACGTCAATGTGGATTCTTAGAAATTTAACTGATTGAACAGTCCATTTTAATGTCTATTGAGTCCTTTTGTCTTGCTGTAGATTTGAAAAGCGTTGCGTATGTTTTGTGTTATTGAAATTCCATTAGATCATTATCATTTGAAGCACCAAGGAAAATTACACAATCCTCCTTAGTAAAGTCCACACGAAGGGTATTACATGATTTTAATAATTCATTCGATTTGGCATTCGGCTTTAAAAACACGTAACATGATAATCCTTTCCCAGGAAACTTTGTAATATGTCTCTCAAACCGCGATCTGCTTGATCTGACATTATCATGACTCGATGTTTGATGTTTTGTTGAGTGTGTGAAGTTCGGGTTTCGTTGAGTAAACTTGCTGCAATGTGACCTCAAGCATGGTGTATCATTTATACCCGAAGCAATATTCTTAATCAATGTGCTGTTTTGTGTATTCTAGATAGACGCCAATCCTTCAATCGGTTTGTAACAGCTTTGAAGATTATCGAAACTTTTCGAGAAAGTACTACTAAGCTGCAACTTCTGGCGTTTTGGGGATTTAATCAACTGGGGAGAAGCTAAACCTCCTAAAATTTATATACCGAATTTATTTTTCTATATTGTGGTGAGTAAAATCTTGTTGTTAAACCAGTTGAATTTCTTCTATTGCCGTTATTAACTCCTGAGTCAATTATTCTATAGTAGAATTTAAATGTTTAACTTCCGTAGAACCTAATGTACCAATATACTCGTAGGACAGGCTTTGATGTGTTATCGAGGAAGGATTCATCAATCATTTGATTATATAATCTGGTTTTATTTCTTTGTCTTATGTTATCGTAGTCTTCCTACTCCATTTTGTGTGGAACTATTTGATTTTTATTTGCGCCCTCTAGTGCCAAAATCCTAAAAATTATTTTTCTATTCGTGATATTGAGATAGTGGTATAAGTATTATATGTCAATTTGGTCATAGTCGTTTGATTAGATAACATGGCGTGGCGTATGGCGTTCATATTGTATTTGTAATAATTTTATTATGCTTGTGTTATTTCAAAATGTGAAACAAATTTTGCGAATGAGGATCGAACTTGCGTTCGCTCGTGGTGTAGTCTTTCTGCGCGATGCCAGCTATTACCCAAATGCGCTAGCACAATTATCAGTTAGTGGTTGAATTTTTGAAGTGAAAACTTCTTTAGCGGCGTTGTACACTTTTTTGTAACGGGTAAAAAATGATAAACTCGCATCAGGACACGTGACCCTGATCGAAAATTCGTAAGACGGATGGAGAGAGAGAGATAGCCGGCGCGGCGTAGGAGGGGAAGTATCCCCCTCTTTTTCTACGGCGCGGCGAAAATGTATGCAAATGTATCAAATGTATGAATATGTAATATCGCGCTTGCGCGAATGTTCGTGTGTGATAATTAAATCAATTCGTTCAAAATTATTCCCTTATCATTCCAAAATATCAAAAATGCACAACGTTAATATTCAAGTTTTCACTTCTGCCGGCACTCGTCGTTCGTCGTTTTTTTCGATATAAATGCTTTGCTTTTTATTAATATGACGCGGGTTTTCTGTTATGAATGATCAAATTCAAACTAGTGATTTCAGAAACACCCACTTTTCGATTATTTTTATAGTAGTTGCTATTTATGAATTTAAAACAATGAGAATTATATTTATTTTGTTCACTTTTTTTCCATTCTAAGTTATTTGGTACTTTTTATGGTCTACTTACACGTTCACCCTATCGTGAAAATCCTTCATAATTATAGCAAGCAACTGTTATACTGTCACTGATCTATAGTTTGTCACACAAAAATATAATTTATACACTATAGTATTTCTAGACATGAATATATGTGTACGGAGCTTTTGTTTACTTAACGGCGCCCTCTGCCAAACTGGTACAATTAGATCGTATAAAAATTAGGTGATACGTAATCAATCCAAATAGTTTTTGATCCGAAAATGCTGCCTGCCCATCACCTGCTTCAACTTCTGTCGCCTCTTACGTTGTCCATGGGACGATATGAGGGAGTAGATATTATTACACCCCTAACTACAATACACTCGTATATTTGATATTTTAGGATCTTATATTTTATGTGTTGTGAATTTTGAGGTGATCACTCCACCATTATCCGAAGGGAACGTAGTAAAAAAATACCTACCATTTCGCACAAAACTCTCGATGTATTCAAACTCGTTCAGTAGAACATTTAAATCCGCTACAATAAACCAAATACTGACATGCATGGATGCTTTTCCTAAATTCTTTAATATGTGTATTACTTCAGTTGGGGATTTCTGTAAGTACAACACAATATTCCTATCAAGAAATAAAGAAATACAAATAATAATTTAAGACAGTCAGAATGATAAAATGTATAGGTTTAACTTAGTACGTACATAGTAGAAATTATTTCAAATTGAATGTGATTTATAGGCAACAATGTTTTTTGCCTACCGATACTCTTACGAATGCGTGCGTTGTCCCCATTAAAATTAGTTAAAATAATGCATTACCACACAATTAGAATTTAAAGGTAAAAAGGACAGAATGTTTGAGATTTTTTTAATTAATTTTTCTTTACCTAGCCTTTATTACTTATTCTGAACTTTTTCTGCAAATTTGGTCGGTTATTGCAATTTTTTTTTAATAGGATAGGGTGACAAACGAGCACACAGTCCACCTGATGGTAAGTGGTTGGTATTGCAAAATAACCCTGTATAATATAAAATAGTGTACGCAAAATGCTTTGCTAAGCCATTTAAAATATCTTTAGCTAACTTTATGTATCTCTTGACTTAAAAACTTGGGAGGCTGCTGATCATGAGGTCCCGGGTTCGAATCTCGGGTCGGACTAAAATCAATTATTGGGTTTTTTTATCAAAAAATTCTCAGTAGCAGACTGGAATCAGGAAGTTCACGGTGTGTCACCCTGGCGCTGACGTTGGTCCTTCTTCGGTCGTGTCGAATTGCCGTCGCATCAGTCTATGTGAGTGAGGAAATACAGTGCATCTGTGTTTGTTATGCACTGGTGCACTATAATCCTGCCCTACGCAGAGGGCTAATTTCAGTTTAGACAGGCCGTGTGACCGAAATTCTGGATTTTTTTAAATATTATAGCGAGTAAAACAAGTATGCGGATTGATGACGATATAGGATTAAAAAATCAAATTGTTTTAATATCCAGACTAGAAACAGAAAGCAACATGTACCGTAAACAATGTTTAAAACTATAGATATTCTACACAAAACAAAACAACTAATAAATAATTTTCATTTAAATTTCATTTAAATATAATTATTGTCATTTCCCTGACAAAAATTAAAAATCAACTTTAACCAGAGTAATTTTAATCTGCGGTTACAAAAAATATGTTTGTATACTAACCATTCTATTTCGAGTGTCTCCGCCATCGCTTGCCTCCTCATCGCATTGTGATACAAGATTAAAAGTGACCCGCTTCTTAGGAACATTCTGACTTTGTATATTCGTAATATTTTTATTTACATTTTCGTCTTAAAATAAAAGTATATTATAATTAAAAACAAGTGAAAAAATATAAATTTTGTATAACTGACGTCAGTGTATAAATAAAATGAGAACATCATCAATAATTTGGTCGAAGTCAATTAAATATGCATTATTAAGGTTAACTCAAAAACTATTGATAAGAACTTGATCAAATTTATATAGGACCACATGAGAAGCGACAGCTTTCGAATAAAAAAAAGAATTAACAAAATAAGTTCACCTAAAAAAAATTCCTAGCAACACTTAGGGCTGGAAATAAGCCTCTACCAAGTTGCGGGGGCATGGGCATAAACTATACACTGCAGAGGGGATTGGCGAACTCAGTAAGCAACAGACTCTCGAATCTAGGACACTACAATCCATGATTGGTCCGAAGAAACTATATCAATTGACAGTTTTATATTGTATATCTCAAAATATACGAGTTTTTTTCACAGGGTTAGACAAAAACTAAGAAGGAAGACGTTTGACTCGATCCTGACACACCTCTATCGCTTCTACCTCTAATACTGTACTATAGGTACTTTTAATTTGACCCATCGCCAATTTATCACCAATTTGGTCCATAAATTTCCGACCGTACCTTAGCGACCCTGACACTCACTTCCGCAGCATAAATTTAGTTTGTCACTCTTTCCTTATTCATTATTTCTATGTGTTCAAACAACTGAAGTATTCCTTTCCTCGTGCTAGACACAACATTTTCTTACGAACCACACTGATCACATAATTTCTCACCCTATCATTCAGTCAGCCCTAACATAATTCTTAATGACCGCATTTCTACAGCATTCATTTTACTTTTTTTTATGGAATAGAGGGCAAACGAGCATGCGGCTTACCTGATGGTGACTACCGTCGCTCACGAACAACCGCAACACCAGGGGAATTGCAGGCACGTTACCGGCCTTTAAAAAAAGAATAAGCTCATTTCTTGAAGATTAAATTCCACAGAGAAGTTGTACGAGGAAGAAAACTCCTAGTAAAAAGCACGGTGATGGACCGCCAAACATTCAGATGGTGAGAATGGTATCTTGAATTTTGACGTGTGTGCGTTCCTGAAATTTGGCGGCTCGGATTAATCCGAACAATTCCTCAGAGCACTCCTTGTGGTAGATGCGATAGCAAAAACAAAAAGGATGCAACATTCCTAAGCAGCGCCGGTGAATCGAGCCGATCAGAAAGAACTCGGTCGTCGATGACTCGAACCGCTCTGCGCTGGATGCGGTCAAGTGGAAGGAGCTGACACTCGGGTGCCCCGGCCCTGAGACAAGAACAGTATTCCATGTGAGGCCGAACTTGCGCTTTGTAAAGTTGAAAGCGATGTGCTGGCATGAAATCGCTCTGCTGAGCACGTTAAGTTTTTTAGAGTCCAATTTGGCCTACCCCTCCAAGTGACCACGAAACAGCACACTATACGATATGTCGACGTCGAGGATTCCGATGCTAGCTCAGGCAGCAAGGGGAGTGCCTTGAAAATAAGGAAATACGACAAAGGGGTTCTTTTTAGCGGTAAACGCGCTTGTGTCTTCTGGGGATTGAACTGGACTAGATTTAGTCGCCCCCGATGCAAGACTTTGTTCAGCAAAGACACTTCAGAAACAAGTTTGTCCCGGTACTCGCCGACGTTTTCCCGAGAAATATTGCCACGGCCGGTGTATAAGGCATTACCAGTGCTGTCGTCTGCATAGCAATCTAGCAATGAATGTTACCAGTTTGCAATATATCATTGACATGCAAAAGAAACAGCGTTGGTGATAGCACGCAGCCTTGGGGAACACCAGCGTTAATAGGCTTGTAATCAGAACATGCAACGTCTACTACGACTTTGACGCTCCGATCAGCAAGGAAACTGGTGATCCAATTGCACAAATCTCGGGAAGCCCATCGGTAGGGAGCTTCGAAAGAAGTGCTTTGTGCCAAACCCAATCGAAAGCCTTCGCTATGTCCAAACTAACGGCCAATGCCTTCCGCTTGGACTCTACTGCCTCCGCCCATCTATGAGTTAGGTAGACCAGAAAATCACCAGCTGATTTACCACGATGAAAACCGTATTGGTGGTCACTAATCACCTGGTGATCCTCAAGGTACCTAACGAGCTGGCAGTTTATAACGGACTCTATTATTTTGGAGAACAAGGAGGTGATTTCGATGGGCCTGTAGTTGGAGGTGTAATCCATTTTTGGAGGAGATCACACGTTCAGCACAATGGAGAGGAGTGCTTTGCGAACCAAGCGCTGTATAAAAAATGGTCAGCGGTGTGTTCCCCCCCCCCATCAAGAGTCGAGTTGGACGCAAAGACAGAGCTTAACAAATCGGCTTTCTCTTTTGCGGCATAGGCTAGTGAGTCGTCCTCTCTGTGCAGAGATGGAAGAGATGACTGATAGAAATTCCCTTGGATAGCCTTGGCGAGAGACCAGAATGCACGGGTTCCCGAAGGAAGGCGAACTAGTTTCTCGCCAATTCTGTCGATGTGCTCATACCTTGCTCTGACAATTACTCTTTTGAGGGTACCTGGAGGCGGAATTATACTTCTTTTTAAGAGCGCTGATGTTTACATCCCAAGACGCTGATGCATCAGCCCACCCCCGGTAGCACTCCTGCTTATAGCGTGCCATGGCCATGGTATGGTTGCTCCTGTAAAATAGCATTTACAGGAGCATACAATCCATGGCTCGGCCCTGCCTCCGATGGGCACCACAGGGGATGGAATAAAAAGTTCCATACCCTGAAGTAACACATCAGCAACAGAATCAGCAACAAGGCTGGGATCATCCGGCGAGAAGCAAACCCGCCCCCAAGGGTAGGATGCAAAAAAGACCGCATCCTATCCCAATCGGCCGACCAATAGTGCCAAACACGGCGGCAGCCTGCAGAATGCAACCACCACGTTAATATGACTAGCACTCCAGACAAGACAATCATCCGACGAGCCTAGAGGGGCGTCGACGGAAACCTAATATCCGTCAGGATGAGAGGTCAGCAGAAGGTCCAGCAGGGAAAGTGTATCTTCTTCCACATCTGGGATCCGCGTAGGTGAAGTAACCAGTTTTAGCAGACCATATACCAAGGCAAAGTCATAAACAGATCTCCCCGCAATGATGGTTAAACGTGAACAGCGCCATTCGGCATGGTGGGCGTTAAAATCGAAGAGGGTTACGATCTCTGCGGATGGGATCTGCGGTAGCACGGAATTTGTAGCCATTTGGACGTGGTCGATGAGTCGACCGGTTTCGGCACACCGCTATGGGACCTATATAGGCACCCGTATATGTGGAGATGGTCGTCGCTGTCTACGCGCTGCCGTAGGATGGACAGGTCCGTACCTTCAAGACAGCCGAGGTGTCGAAAACAGATGTCCTCTCTGACATATACACAAACTCCATTCCGGGGCACAAAGAAGTGTTCTAATTAGTACCCCGGGTAGGAGAGATATGAAGTATCCGTTGGAGAGGACAACTGAGTCGCGGTTAAAAAGAGCAAGGCCGGCTTTGCCGTCTCCAGATGGTAGTGGAAAGCGTTAAGGTTGGTATAAAGTCCTCTGATGTTGCAAAAATTCACGGAAAGCGTGGAGCGGTCGCCTTGGTGTTGTTGCTCCTGTTGCCCCGTGCATTTTTAGTCGCAAGCGGAATTGCGCCCCCCCCCCAGAATACACAGGGCAGTCTGAGCACCCACGCTCAGGAAGAGTAGGATAACTTGGTCGTGGATGCTCAGCCAGGTATTCTCCGTCACCAGTGGTGCTGGTATCCTCCTGGAGTAGTTTTTTTATTCATTCCACTACCATGTTAAGTGGAAGGGGGGGCGCAATTGGGCCTCTGGCCACCTGCACTTGCCAAACGAAATGCAGAGGTAAATCTACTACGCCCTGGTTCGAGCTGGCCCATCCATGCGACAGCGAAAGCTGCCGCATAACTCCACTATATCACTACTATATATTAAGGTAAGGACTAATACAGCAACACCCACAAAGGTGGTTGTTGCTGTATTAGTGGGTATCACCAAAGCTGTGTATCAACTAATGATCATGAGCAATTAGTGTGTAAGAACATTTTTATACACTTTTCACTAGAAATATCAAAAGGCTTTGTCGTTGCTTTCTCAATGACTATGCCAATAAAAGTCCAAAACAAGTGACAGTTTATTTGGGTGGTGGGGATGGGCCTTGTCAGCCCCATCTACCAGCTGGATCGAGCTCCCGATGTCGCGCTGTGAGCCAACTTCGCGTCCCTATATTCTCCCGGTAATCCTAACGCCTGAAATAGGGCGTTCCCAAAGGTGCGGGCTCCATGGAGGGTGGGAAGCCGGGGGGATGAATTTTAAAGAACAAATACTATGGACAATTTAAGGCCCAAAAAGAAAGAGGGAGAGGTGTCAGAGGTGCTTACCAGAGACACCAATGAACAAGGGGGAACCGTCACTAAACCGGCGGTTCCACGGACAGTACCGTCCAGCGCAGGTGCCCCCATCAAAGGGACAACTACCTCGCTGAACGTTTCCAAACCCAGTTCCAAGGAGCTGGGGGGAAAAAAGAACAGGAGCCCGCGAGTGACAAAACTGCGGAGCCAATACGAACTGACGACCTTTTCTCTGCTGCCTGGCAAGTGGTGAGCCGTAAGGGGAAAGGCAAGGCACCCAAAAAGGTGACTTGCCGACCTGACGGACCATCAGGAGGGTCTATCCCTGCAGGCAGTAGTGGAAAGGCCAAAAAGAAGAACAAGAAGCAGCGGGAAAAAGGCCGAAGGGAACGAGCCGCACTGGCTGCTTCTGAAACTAAAACCAAGGAGGCTGGGCAAGCTACTGCGACTGGGGTGCTTGGAGCTGGAACCAGTAGCCGCACTGAAGCTGGGAAGGATAAAAATCCAGACCAAGTGGAAGTCGCGGCCGCAGGAACCAGTTCTAGGATATCCGCCAGGAAGCAGCGAGCGGCCAAGCGTCCTGGGAAGAAAGAAAGAGCAGCCAAAAGGATGCTGGAAGAGTCCACCTC